AGAACAGCATCTAAGGAACAGACTCCAAAGAGAGACTGCTGAACTCGAAGTAATATGCAAATTAGATACAATTAACTTAGGTTTAAACAGAGACTGGGAATGATTGGGTCATTACACTAATTGAATCTATTTCCCCATGTTAAGTTCTCCTCACACCTTCTATGGGTCATCTCGATTATCACTTCAAAGGTTTTTTTTCTCCTGCTGCTGCTAGCTCATCTCAGTTGATTGGCCTCTTACAGTTGGTATGGGTACTTCCACCTTTTCATGTTCTCTGTATGTATAAATATCTTCTGTGTGTTCCATTCTATCCATCCGAAGAAGTGAGCTGTAGCCCACGAAAGCTTATGCTGAAATAAATTTGTTAGTCTCTAAGGTGCCACAAGTACTCCTGTTCTTTTTGCGGATACAGACTAGCACGGCTGCTACTCTGAAACCTAAGGAACATCAGTGATTCAACGAATACAGTAGAACCTCAGAGTTACAAACACCTCAGGAATGGAGGTTGTTCGTAACTCTGAAAGGATTGTAATGCTGAACAAAACATCATGGTTGTTCTTTCAAAAGTTTACAACTGAACATTGACTTAATACAACTTTGAAACTTTGCTATGCAGAAGAAAATGCTGCTTTCCTTTTTTTCCCTCTTTTTTAAGTAGTTTATATTTAAACACAGTACTGTACTTGGTTGGGTTTTTTTGGTTTGTTTCTTGGCTGTGTTGCTGCCTGATTGCATATTCCCAGTTCCAAATGAGGTGTGTGGTTGACTGGTCAGTTTGTAACTCTGGTGTTCGTAACTCTGAGGTTCTACTGTATAGTGAATTTTACACCTGATGCACCTCCCATTGACTATAATGGCAGTAGCATCAGATGCTAAATTCACTATGTTAATTACATCATTGATGTTCCTGAGTTGCTGTCTCTGCATACTTACTGCGTATTACCGGCCAAGGCCTCCTCTATCCCTAGTGATAGAGAATGTATTTCTGTAACTCAAGGTACTCAATCTACTGGCGAGAGGGACAAACTGTCCTACGATGCTCTCCTGCAAGGTGCAGAGCACCCTCACCTCCCATTGAAGAGCTAAGGGCCCACAACCTCTCCAGGATCAGGCCCTCAACGCTTAATTCTGCATCACTGAAGTCAACAGTCAATTGATCTCGCTGATTTCAATGAGAGTTTGATCAGCCCTTGTGGCTGTGATTCAACAAAGCACTTAAGAACATGCTTACCCCATGGAAGCCCATCCCTATTCAATAAGGCCCCCCCAGTTCAGGAACGCAGTCCTGTTCAGGAAGGGCACTTAAGCACATGCTTCAGTGCTGAATTAAGGACTATGTTCACACATGCAGCCTCCACTGACATTAATGGGAGTTGTCTACAAATATTAGGTGGCAGAATGCGACCCCAAATGCTACCAAAATAAGCATGGAACATGATGTCCTTTATTCACCTCCACAGGTTACAATGAAAACAAGCGTGTCTATGATTTGGTAAAATATATTTTATTTGTTCATACAAAGAAATAGTATGAATTATCAGAATTTCATTTTCCTAGAAACATCTTTCTCTGTGTAAAATTAATTTGTGTTGTACATACCACAAAATACTTGATTTACAATTTTTTAATTTTTTTAAAAACAAATTGGCTATTCTATAGTACCATGTTACAGACAACACATCGCTAATATCTGTACTGCACTTCTGAATACAGGGCTGAATGAAACTCAGCCATAAATTAATGTTACAATGTGAAAAAAGAAAATCTAACCACACCTCTGAGTTTAATGGTTTATCCTTCTTGAAGAAAACAAAACATGATGATAGCATTGAGTCCATTATTAGCAACCCAGATGCATACTAAAGGGAATCCAATCTTGGTTGCCATATTGCTTAGGTAAGGCCTTTTATATTAATTGGTCTCATATAAACTTCATTACAAAGGCTGTTCAGCTAGGATTAGCAATTTGCTTAAGGTATTCAGAGTATCAAACACCATATATTTCTATAATCCAACATGGTTGCCTCATGAACCCATTCAGTACCAAGACTTGATTATACCAACTAAGCCAACAGGCTGGTGAATTTTGTACAGTTGAGAAAGACATCAGGAGATCAAAAATTGTTACAAAGAAAGCAATATACAGAGAGATCAGGACACCTAAATCCTCCAGTATATTAAAAAAAAAACCCCTAAGGAAACAGAGGTGAAATGAAGAAATGGCAAAGTGATAAATACCTGAAGTTTGCCAAGTACTGGAAGAAATGGGATCACATGGTTGGACAATGTTGCCACTTCACCAGAAAGTGACCCTGGTTTCATGAAAGCCAAGTGAACAGCTGGAGAGTTATTTCTTCCTGACCATGCAGGGCCACCAGATACAAGGCTTAATGCAACACACAGCATAAGTTCTGCAGTAGGAAGATGCAGGGATTCAAGTTCTAGAATAACTAGTTTCCTAGGATTCTGCTTTACAAGATCTAAAGCTTTTTTCTGCAATCATTCAAGACACTCAAGTTAGCAGGCCCTTATGGTAAATTGAATATGCTAGTCTATTTATCACTCAGTAGTAGAGGTGGACCCCAAGACCTGCAGTCCATGGCGAAAGCCTGGGCCCAAAACACCCACACATCCAAATGCCCCTTGAATTTTCATCTCAGTTTTGCAACCCAGGGCTCCCCCTGCACTGCAGTAATGAAGATCCCACACTCTCTATTGTGGCTTGTCACAGTATTGGCTAATGTGTCGTTCGGCTGATGGAACTGCCTATGGCAAAACAATACTGTTTCACGGGCGAGATTTCACCTTTCCTTGGAGTGGGAAAGGCCCGGGGGGAAAACCCAAATCAAAGGTTGCACCATGCTCCAAAACCGACTGAAACTAGACTGTCATTATAGAGCTTGATACTGCAAAGTGCTAAGTATCCCCCTGCCTCACCCGGCTGGGATTTGAGGGTGCTCTCATATACCTGTCATTCTCCTCTCCCACTGACCTGGGTATGGCCCCTTCCCCCACATTTCCCCGTGGCATTGATAAATAGGGGAGCTAGGTCAGGGGAACCTTTTGACTCTGTATCTACCTTTACTTGCCATGACATTACACTGCTCTTGTAAACAAGTTAAAATTCCCTGTTAGTCATTAGATTAAACTAAGCACCCCTTGGGTTTGGAATGGGAGCAGATCCATCCATATTTCAAGGGGCAGCATTTTACTGCAAATCTCATTGTTACAGAGACAGAGGGCTGGCTTCTGCTCTCAGTACCATTAGTGTAAGTGAGATCAGAGCTGGACCCAGCGAGAGCAACATGGGCCTGTTAACTGAATGGTTCGGAAGGAAAGTTATTGCATCTGCATGTCCATCATTAAGCAGCCGTAGCGGACAGCTGTATAGGACAAACAAGAGCAAGGAGGTTGTTAAAGTAAAAGCAACATCTGAGGAATGCTATACGACAACCACCACCACAGCTGGGTATTGTTTAGTAATCTGGTATTATAATGGAGGGGTTGCTGACCAGGGGTGGCCACTGGCGTCTTCAGCCTGGTGCTAAGATATATTGGTGACATATATGAAACCAACATATCAACATAATGAAATCATGTATCTTTTACCCATTTGCTGTTGCATTATACATGCAGTTGTCTAGCATTTTATTACACTGCACATACATTATGCAAGTACTTGTTTACTTATACAGTAATGTCATAAGGTTTATTTAGCAAATACCTTGCTGCTCCCACTACATAGTATTTATAGACATTCCTGCACGCTGTATGAAAGGTGCAATTAATAGCTTGTTTAATCTACATTCAGGGTTAAACTGAAGTCAAAAACAGCCATGTGTACCCTGTAGTTGCCCTGGAATGATGGTATGGCCCTGCTTTAATTAAATTCAATGGGAATTAGGATCAGGATTTTCTGCAGTTACCCTAGTCACTAAGAGGTCCATTAGAGATGGGTGAACCTCAGGCGGTGAGGATAGACACCCAAAGTTTGTGGAGATTATCCACACCACCTAAACCTGCAAAATTTGGCCAGAATTCTAGTGAGAATCATTCATTCACTCACTGCTAGCTTCTGCCAGGGCTGTAAATTCTGCAAGAATAGCTATTCTGGGGGTGGGTCAACATTTCTGGTTCCACTCCTGGCCTGACACCAGAAACGCCCCTCTGAACAGCTCAGCTCCTCAAAAAGTGTTTGGTTCAAACTACAGGCAAAATGTTGGGTTCTTATTTTAACTAGTTGTCCCATCCTCGCTTATGTATTTAAATGATCAACAGTTACACCTCTGAGCAAAGAGCGGTCTTGACTAATATCAGAGCCCTGTGTGATTCAGGGTCTTATTTTCCAAGTATTTGGGGTGAAAGTACTGCATGTGAAATGAGAGACCAGTGGCAGTAGATGCAGGCAAGTATCCCTAAGTAGTTCTATGGATTCATCTGAATCCTGCCTGGTAACATCCCCTTCCAATTCCCGGTAGGGGCCTGTTCTGGACAGAGACTCTTGATGAAGTATTAGACCAAAATGTAAGGTGGACAAGACAACATCGAATGGGAATAAGGCTGAAGCCCCCCCCTCACACATCCCCACACAATCATTGCACTGGTGACCTACCTCAGATCCCCAGCTGTGCATGGACTCACAGTGTCCCCTACCCACTCCTCGGGGGACACTAAATCAGTGACAGACTCATACCCTGGCTTTTGCTAATGGCTCCTCTGGTTCTATTGATTTCTTTGGTGTGTCAAAGCAGATGCTCTGCCTGCATGCTCGACTCTAGTGCGTTTTAAAATGGGTTCCATACAAGGTGAGTGTATACATGTAGGAGCTGAATTTCATTTACTACAACATAGTTCCACCCAGCACTTCACATCTTTAATAAGAATAATAATTTTTTTTAAAATGCATAGAGTCCCCACCCAGGAAACCTGTTTGGGCCAGTAGGGGGAGATTCTCCTTATTTAAACAAACAAACAAAACAAAACAAAACAAAAAAACAGACTGATAAGACTGCTCCCCCCTTGCAGCAAAATCTCATGCCATTGGTGCTCTTTTCCAAAGGAGCACCTTATGCACCAAGCAACACTTGGGGAAACAGAAGCAAGCAGAAGTCTCCCAGCAGCAGTATGGCTGGGGAGTGTGGATACTGATGGATTTTGCACATTATAACGCCCCTGCAAAGCAGCTGCTATGTTGGGAATAAGCATCTGAGCTTCAAAAAGCAGCACAGCCTCTCCCGCCCCTACTGTTATTCAGAAGGCAGGAAGGAACGTGATGACGGGCCAACAGATCTCATGCAAAAGGTAGGGGGACAGATACTAGAGAGTTGGAAGATGACAAGTAAATGTTTATAAAGGCCTAATACCCGTAACGAAAATAAAATTGTGCTTTTCCCCCCCTCTTCCTTTTTAATACTAATTTCCTCTAGATAAATGGAAGCACCGTCAATTATAAACCAAACAAAATAAAAAGACCAATATTAGAATTAAACACCATGGAATGTTAAAAAAAAAAAAGGTTATGGGCTAATATTCTAGACAGTGTGGTTAGGCAGCTTAGTGAATTAATTACTTAAAAATTAAAAATAAATTATTATAAAATAGATTTCTGTACATTTTACATACACACACATATCTTTATAGAAGCAAGCTGCACCATGGGGTAATTACAAGGAGACACTGTCGTGCCAGCCTCAGTCCCAGCCGAAGTCGTGCCCAGTCATCTGGTAGAACTTCATGTTGAAAGGCCTGTAGAACTCCCGCAGTCTCTGCACCACCTCCCTGTCTATATTGGGGTGGGTCCTGCCTTTCGTTTTCCCCAGGCAGTGGGGTTTGCTGCTGCCTTCAGCTTTCTTCAGGCAGGGGAAGCCCTTGGTTTTGTTGAAGTAGAAGTGTTTGTCCGTGATGATCCTCTTAAGGCCCAGAAAGTCCTGGACCCTGCCCAGCTCCCCGGCGGGGTCGCTGATCAGCCTCTCCCCGCTGACGAAGAGGATCTGCCCAATGGGGAAGTAGAGGAGCCAGTTCTCCAGGTGCTTGGCGTAGATGCCGATCTGGATGGCGCTCCACGAGGTGTCGATCAGGCCTGTAGTCCTGTTTTTGAAGGTCAGGCTCTCAAAGGTGGGGATATCGGGCTTCTTCGAGAGAGTCTGCGTGTAATCGGAGATGGCTCGGGTCACGGGATCCCGCACCACCACGATGAGCTTGGTGCCCTTTGACATGGCGGAGATTCGAGCAGGTGCTTCCTTGGTGACGAAGTAGCTAGGGGTTTTCTCCATGGTGATCTGTCCATCCAGGGTTCTGGGCATCAGGTCTCTGCCAAGAAAACAAATGCACTGGTTAGGAGAGCAGGATAACTCATCCCTTGCAACATAACCTTTATGGGCCCTGCTATCAGCATAAGTCCTATTAGTGTGACTTGCAAATACATGAAGTAGTCAGGCACAAGGTTAGACTCCTGGCAATTATATCACAGTAGTGATTCATGCTCTGTGTTTGGCTGCTTTAAAGAGGCTAGTCCACCTCCGTGGGGTGTGAATTAGCTGCAGCCTTGAAACATCAGTTCAGCAAAATGGAATTGAAATATATTCATCAGAAAAAGCTGGAGCACAGAGAAAAGGAATCATTCACCCTCGGGTGCCTATGCAGATTGCCTGGCCCAAAGGAAAATCTTATTTCCCTATTACTTTGCTTTTGTAAAGGTTACTGGGCTTAATTTCTAATGGGACACCCATTGCTCTTCTCTTTTGTAACACTACACTGGGAAGTTTTCTAATGTGCATCACAAGAGAGAGACTATCGCTTCCTTGTGAAGCATAAAGCATGTACAAGTGCGTGCAATGCAGCAAGTTGAACAAAACTGCACGCTGACTTGTCAACATCAGGTCCACCATGTGTACTCAGTGGAAGAGGCCTCTTAAATTCTCCCAATTCTCTTTTCCCCTAGACCCCCTGGAAGTGCACGATTGTTTCCTATAATACTTGTACAGGGTCCTGGTCTACGACACACAAAATAATAAAAAACAACAACTCCTGTTGACTTCAATTGGAGCCATGATCATGAACCCAAGGGAAAAACTTGAGCCCTGTGTTTTAATATCACATAATGTGAATGTATAACAGCAAGAGAATCCTTAGTCTAGGACAATAGCTTCTGTGCGCTTTGGCTAGTATTGTTTGTACAAATTATACCCAATCCTATAATACTTAACTCCTTGATGCAATGTATCAAATCCACTGTAACTTGTGTCATACTAATAGAGAATACAAGTGAAAAAATAGCAGTATCCCACATACCTCTTCTTAGGCATTCCACCCACTAAGCTCAAACATATTGAAACATCATAAGGAAGGAGCACTGGGGCTCTGTAATTTAACATGCCAAATGTTTTCACATCTATGTGCTCCTCTTTCATTAGAGGCAAGATTTGCTTAGGTGCAGTCTAGAAAACTCATGCCACTTAAGCCCACAGTAGGTCTGTGCAAAGTGGCAAGAGGCAAAACCTCTGTGGGAGGGCAGCTAGTCTTTGCACCTACTGCGTACTGTGGGAAAGGTTTCCGTGCCAACTTTCCATAGGTCAGCATGTAGGGCAATGATGGGGCAGGCCAGTGGAAGTGCTGTCGGATCCATGTTTAAATGGATGTAGTGTCCTACCATACAAGCAGCCAGAGGAAGTGGATTTCACCTCTCCCATGCGCTTGCATTTCACCCACAGCAAGCGCTAACTCCACACGCTTCATACAGGTGCAGTGCTATTTACTCATCGCATGCCATGCCTGATCTCTGGTGCCAGATGGAACCTGTGCTGCTCTATCAAATTCCCAGGATGAGTGAGTCTCCAAAAAACACTCTACCAAGTAGAAGAGTGATTTTCAGGAGAAGCTGCTCTACAACTGGCAAATCCCATAAAAGGTCTATTTTCTAAGCCAATCACTAAACATAGCAGGCCAATAATGGCACAGCAAACAATTACTAAATCTCACCAGAGCTGAGGCTGAATTTGACAGGCCACTTGTTCACCAGTGTCTTTTTTTTTTTTGGAGGAAACTGAACCTGATCTCCATAGCCTGTGCTGGCTGTCTCCTGGCTTAAGATGTTGGTTTTGACTTCTGAAGCCCTACTGGCCTGGGAGCTACCTATCTAGGAGATGGTTCACCCCTGCGACCTACTGCAGCAGCTGTGGTTGGCAGAGATGCCTACGTTGAAGCCCCTTTGGAAGTAGAAAGAGGAGTCTGTTAGTGTGCTGGACCTTGGGAACTCCCTTTCTCCCCAGGTTTGAGAGAGCCAGAGCTAATTAACCTTCAAGGCATGGTAGAAGGCCTGCTTTTTCTCCCTGGAGGAGATAAGTAGTCTCCATCTCTTGCTGTCTTCAAGACCAGATGCTTTTTCTGGAAGAGATGCTTTAGCCAAGCAAGTTATTGGGCTCAACACAGAGTAACTGGGTGAAATTTAAGGACTGATGTTATAAGGAGGACAGACTAGATGATCTAATGGTCCCTGCTGGCCTTAAACTCTGCAAATCTAGGAACGGCTGAGCAGTGGGGGTGTGTAGAACTCTTGGATTGCATAGGGAGGGGGAAGTAGAAGGAATCTATTTTTATTATATTTATGGTGTTGCTGGGTCAGTTGATCCAATCGGAGAGGAAGTGACAGGGGTGTTTATTTAGTTTGTTTTCTAAAAGAACATCCAGGGCACCAAGAACACTGGACAAGTGCTCCATTATGCTTTGTATAAATCCAAAATAAATAACTAATAAATCACCTCCAGCAGATACAGCAATTAAATCCACAGGTCTTTGGGATACTGGAAAAAGAGGGATTCACTGGGAGAAGAATCAAATCTCATGGTCTAGTGGCCTCCTACTTTTACAGATGTACATCCACCTCCCAATAGATTTACAAAAGAGCCACAACTGGCCAGAACCAGAATTCATGTGAAGTGCTGCTGACACACCTTAGCTCCTGTTGGCTTCAGAGTGAGCCGAGGGTGCTCAGTTCCTTACAGGATTAGCTCAAGAGAGTTTCAAAGCAAAGTTGTCTGGGCTCCCCCTACTGGATCTGCAGTGGCATTTTGCGGAAAGATGGTGTTTCTAGAGCTATGAACTTCCCTGCTGAAATGCTGGCACAGGTACAATAGCAGCAGCCAAATAGATTCACAATGCGCCTTCCTCTGCATGTAAAAAACCCAAAGTCTGTTCTTTGCCAGTGAAGAAGAATAAAACTGGTAGGGAGAGAAATGTGATCGTCAAGCTTTTCAGAAGGTATTCCAGGCAAAGAAGAGTAAGAATAAAAACCCTCTCAACATGCATTAGAGTTGTTGAAAGTGCCACCAGGATCTAGTTCCAAAGCAAAGCTTTCCCACTATGCGCGGACACTCTGTTGTATATTGGTAGCGTCCCAAGACCACCAACAGAATCAGAGATTGTCTCACAGGGTCTGCCTTGTTTTAAAAGGCAGTGTACAAAGCGAAAGGACAACAATTGCATTTGATGGACAATGAAGCCTGTTGAGATTAAGATGGGTTTGAACATTGGATTAAAACTGCCTCATACTTTAGGAAAGTTAAGATCAGTATCTAGGTCCAACTTTGATGTTTTGGCCCATCTCTAGCAGAGATCTACATACGGGTCTTCCATGCTTTCCCAAACAGAAGAGTAGTTGGCTTGCTTGCGACTAAATAGGGGAAGCATCAAAGTCACAGGACTACAGGTTTACCAGATGGCCTGAGATTTACACAGGTGGAGAAGTAGCTAATGCCTATTGATACCTAGCTTAACTAATAATAGATCATGATGATTCCTAGGTGAGCCAGCATTGGAGTCATGGGTATATACAAAGGGCAAACTGATTTCATCATGGCACTAAGGGACCAATCCCTACACACACTGAAGTCCACAGTAAAACTCTTGTTGGCTTCGGTGCAAGTAGGAGTAGGCCCAAGTCGTACAACCTAGTCGCTCTGATAAAGAAACGGGAGTTAGCCATTGGCAACCTTAATACCCTTTTACACCTTTGACAACCTCTCCCATACTCTTTGGTTGGGCAAGGTTTGGGTGCCCGATGTTTTCAGAAAGCTAACAACAAACCCCACCCTTGGCAGTTCCCAACCACCCCTCATACAAACACCACGGCACAGTGGGCCAGACCCTCAGCTGGTAGAAGGTTGAATAGGTCCATTAACTTCAGTGGAGCTATGGCAACTGACACCAACTGAGGATTTGGCCCTTAAAGCTTCCGTGGAAGAGAGTCTCGGCAAAGCCATGAAGTGGCTGTGTGAGCAGAGAGATGCATTTTCCACAGGCAGAGAGCAGAGCTCCTAACTCCGAGCTCTTAACATGTCAGCGAAGACAGAATTAAAAAAGCTTTTCCTTTAATGAATATTTGTTCAGCAAAGCTTCACCCATCGTAGGCGAAGTGATAGGCTTACCCTAAAGATGGATTGGCCTACTTTACCTATTAACCACTTAGATTAATGTAAGAATGAATAAAGAGAACCTAACTGCTCTAATCCCCAGGCCCTTTGCAGGCCCCGATTTTTATTAATAAAGCAAGCACACATAAATGTTTAAAACAAAAAACCCTGCGCTCAAACTGCAGCATTTTAACACAAACTCTTCCAATCTGAAAGACAGAGATAAATTTACAAAGTCACAATGACAGGTGGCCACATGGTAATCCAATCCCTGACGCCTAATGCCCTTTGTGGCAGCTTTTTGTCCGCACAGAGGGACTCTGAACTAATCTGTTGACACTTCTCAATAAAGAATATCGAGAGAGGCTATTGTCAGTGGGAGGGGGTGGGTGGATGAGGGAAGGTTTACAAACTGTTGAGCTGTTACTTGTTTGTATCAAGTTGGCAGGTACAACAGACCTACGTTTGCAAGAGAGACAAAAGCTTTCCCCGAGGGTAGCAAGGGTGTATGTGACTGACTAGCTATACCGATGGAACAGAAGCATGTCAGGGCTGGTGTAGTGACCCTTCCTGGGCCTATTCCCTGGGGAAAAAAACAAATGCAAGAAAGTTGGGTGTGTTGGGGGAGAGGAGGATGGGTGGAAAGCTAAACCTGACTAGAAAAAACGTTTCTGAATCT